TATTTCAATTTTTTACATTTCTTAATTATCTTTATTTTATTTTAGATAACTAACTTTGAAAACCTGGCACTGAAAAAAGTAAATGGTTTGAATTTTAGGGGGAAAAAATCAGACTGATGCCGATAAATTAACATGATGGATATGAAATGGTCATCTATAAACTGATGATTCTTACACTAAGTACAAATTGTACTGTTTAAATTAATTGAAATCAAGCATCAATCTGTATCCATTATGTTGTATAATATTCAACTTCAATTAATATTTTATTCATATACTGCTTTTTACAATACACATTGTTTCAGAGCAGCTTTACAGAAAATCATGATGTTAATGTTTATAATATCTTAATATCTTCATGCCTTATAGTCACATTTAGCAGATTAGAGTTGGGCGATAATTAGTGCTGGGCGGTATGACCAAAAATTTATATCACGGTATTTTTCAAAATTATACCGGTTTCACGGTACATGGCGGTATTTTTTTTTACTGATTGAGAGAGGAAATACTGCAGTATATTGACTTAGAATGCCATGATGAGTGAATATTGTCAAAAAATACCACACTAAATAGTGACTAAACACGACCCATTTTAATACGTTAACCAGGAGTCACTCTCATATATAATCGCGGCATCGTCTGATAAAATCAACATGCATCTATCTACACGGTTGTTTTGGCTATATTACTTTTTTGTCTCATGCAGCGCACTGCCTGCGTCTGAGTAACAAACTAAAAAAAACAACAAACTAAAAAGTGCATGTGATATTAACAGACGAACTACGCTCATATTTATAATTCCAAACAATCAGTAAGTGACAGGTGCTAGGAAACACTGTTTTATTACTCATTTGTTGACGAGTCGGCTGCGGTGCGGCCAACTGAATGCACTGCTTCTCTCGGAACTTTCACACTTGTCACACACGTAACACATACAGCTGTTCCCTCACCACAGTGCAACAGTGAAAAGGGACCCCTTTCAAACAGTGTCGCGTTCCGAACGTTGTTTAAGCGACATACACACCGGTATTGCGGTATTTTAAAAATTAATATCATAACAAAAATAAACACCGGTATTCGGTATGAACCGGTATAACACCCAGCACTAGCGATAATATACTTTATATTTTTAAGCGATACAAGCAATCAAGCCATTGAGATATGCACGCCATACTATATAGCCTGAACAACAAATCACAGCCATAGAACACTTGCTGGTGGGCTTTACTTGACTAATGGCAGCGTACAACAGTGAAAAGTCTCACTGTAACCCTTTTTCACCTTTTTTCTATCTTGCTCTCTTTTCTTTCTCCTCTGAGACTCAGTTAATTGGTGTCCCTTTGGTACCCCATTCTGTGGCAGTAGAGCCACTACAGCCCCAGACAGACATTCCCAAGTGACTCTGTTTCCCTCAGCAGAGCCACAGCATCAAATGCAGCGGAGATGGATTAACTCTCCCTAAGAAGGCTTTGAATATAGTACACTGATGATGACCACTAAGATGGGTTACTGAGGGGTCCCCTCATACTTATTAATGGGAAGGAGGATATGAATGTCAGTAATGAGCACCTCTGGAACCGCAAACCTTATTATGATTGTAAAAAAAGAATAATGATGTTGGCATTGGTTGTTAGGCGTTCATTGATTTATTCTTGGCTAGTGTAGTTTTGGTTATTTATCTCCTTCATAAACATTTAAATTAAAGGTGCACTGACTACATAATAAGATCACATGACCAGCCAAATACTACTAACTTTGTCTTATTGAACATTTTCCCCTATAATTGGACATTTTTGTAGGAATTAATTACGGTGCATGCAAATTCTACAGTAACTGAACATTTTTGCTTTTGCCTGATGTTACATGTACATGCATGTTTCAATGGTGAGAAATTGCACTTTTAGTAATAAAAATAATTCTCAGAGTTGCTCCAGGCAGCTCTTTTTAAAAGTCCTACTTTAGATGCCAATATTCATACCTTTGAATTCAAATCGTCCTGCAAGGAAAAAAAAGTAGTTTGTGGAAAAACACTTTTTTTTTTGTTACGGAAAGAACATGAGCTGATTTTTCAAACACTTGCCCAAAATCATTAGCTGAAACTCTCAGCCAATGATTTTGGGTAAGTGTTTGAAAAATCAGCTCATGTTCTTTCCGTAGAACATTTGTTGTCTTAAGTGTCACAGTGCTACAAAGCAGAACACCTCTGTGGCTAGCCTGGAGAATGTAGACATCAGCACATGAACACACCGCTGTCATTGATGCAGCCCACAGTGAACATCATGTGGACACCTAGACTTGTCAGTAAATTTGGGAGCACATAAGTTACATTTCGACTTCTTTAATTAAGCTGGCGATCATATCTACTGGGACAGCATGGACTTTGCAAACCCACAATTTTAGCCAGGTAAACACACGTTTAAATGCACACTGAGAGATCCGTCTTTGACACTGGGTTAAAACTGAGACACTCAAAGCCCTAATTCCTTCAAGTAATCGGCACGTTAGAGTAAGTGCACACAATCAGGCTCCCAGTGCAATTAACCTTCAGTCCCACTCACAAGAATTCTGGGTCACTGCACAAAGGAGAGAAGATGGTTTATTTAATAAAAGCACTTTAACAGACAGCTTGAGAAAAAGCTTCTGGATTAAAGTATGGGTGGATGGGCAGACAGATTCTTTCACATAGACTATTTGCTAAGACAAGCATCGCTATTGTTATTACTCATATTAGTTGTGCTATGGATGTAAATGATACCTCAAATTATGTGTCTTGTTGGGAAGAAGTTTGCTATTTTCTAAAGAGACTAACAATTTACATCTGTCAGACAAAAAAAATACAAAAGGCACTCAAGCCATATGTAGAGACTACAAAGAATATCGCGAAACCAGTATGAATCCACCTAGTGAAAGCCTAGAAATTAGGGTTGTGACGGTGAAGAAATTTTCCCCCCGGTTAATCGACGTGTGACAACACCATTGTTCGTTTTTAGTTCGTTTTAATTTTCCCTCTTTTCCTCGCTTTCCTTCGCTTTTAAATAGCTTAAAATCACCGTGCACATTTTACCTTCACTTTCGAATTACTATCGAATTACTATTTCGAATTATTTATCAGTTCGGTGTCAATTATAAGGCAGGCTATGCCTAATTTAAAATAACAAATAACTTACATAAAGTTTAAATAGGTAGGCCTATACAAAACTGAAAATAGGCTAAGTAAACGTATAATATATAACCAAATAAGAAACGTAGAACGTTTATTAGCAAAACGAGTTTCGGCACGCTGCATTGAGCAGCCGCGTTCGGTTTTTAATTGTAGTGTCTGTTCTTTTACTGAACTAAATTATTTTTATTACTATAAAAAATCTAAACGACGGTGGGGGTCGGTGCCGCGGTGGGCAAGTGACATAACCGGTGTTGCGGCTTAACACTGGTATCACCGTCAGCACCGTCTATCGCGGCAAGCCTACTAGAAATGATCCCAAACATGCTAGCATCATAGTGGTGAGTTTTGCATGGTGAAGCAGCTCTCACATTAGTTTAAATTCATTGTGTTGAATCTGTGAGTTTAATTTTATAATCTTGTACACTGGTTTTATTTACTTTAGAACAACTAGTCAGAACAACACAACACTGTCCTCTGGAACTGCAAACCTTATTATGATTGTAAAAGCAGAATAATGATGTTGGCATTGGTTGTTAGGTGTTCATTGATTTATTCTTTCATCTGGTTAGCCTAGTTTTGTTTATTTATCTCCTTAAATAAAAACATCACCATTTAAATTCAAGGTGCACTGAGTAATTTATTATCTTTATTTCATTTATTTAAATTAATGTATACTCATGAGACGATTCTAGTTATATATTAGCCTATTAAAAGATTTTTCAGTCTCATTTGTCAAATTTGTTGCTTTGAATTTATATGTGTAATTTTATAATCTTGCTCACTAATTTTAGTCTCAACAACTAATCAGAATTTAAATAAAACTGTCCCATCAGAGATTGATAGAAGTGCTGAGGCAAGTGATATACAAGTCAATATATACAAGTGGGACTAAATGCTATGCTTTACACCATGTGAAACTGGTTCATTTACTGTGACAACAAAAGGTCCAAACACACCTACCATAAGTTATCAACAAAGTAATCAAAATAATGTGAGTGTGTTTGTTTTAAAGGCAAACAACCTGAACCAAGTGGCAGCATAATAATTCCATGAGGCAGAAGGGAATTTTACATGTTTGGGAATCTGCAGATCAGAACATTCTGGATTTAATACGATGCAGAAGTTTTGTTTTTTTTTGTCACAGGATCTGGTTTGGATTGATTTGCGCCTCTCGTTCTAATCCAGCTGTGTTGTTATTTGGCTGAATCACCAACTTGGAAGTGCTAAAGAGAAGAGCAGTTTAAACATACGCACATGTACACAATCATCCAATTGCACTGTGGTCTGGTGCACTCATTCACATGGTATCCATTCTATATAATCTGGCCTAATGTGGGTCACATGGAATGCCAAGGGCACAATGACCCGGCCCTGACCCCATGAGATGCACATACATATATTGTATTTGGCATGAAGGAAACTGACCTTCAAAGGAATATGCTTTAGATGGACAGTTTTGTAACCAATTCTTTATCCTGTCGAAAAGGCTGATAATTTTTCTACCATCCTTTGGATTTGGAGTTAATCTAAAGTAAGTGATGTTATGCATTCAAGCTTATCGTTATACACAAGAATGGCAGGTTTTGTGTAACGAAATAGGATTGTTGTCTAAACAATAGTGTATTTTGTCTATATAGGTTTGCCAACAGCAAGCCAGTGCCCTCACATCCACATTGTTGTCCCTCGAGCTGTCAGATCTGGGCTGGCTGGCTTTGAAACAGGTCTGGAAGCATGCAGTAAAAAAGTGAACACATTCCCTCTCCCTAATTCCTTCCCTCCTTGTTTAAGAACCACGAGAAGGAAGGAATTTCACAACATGCACATAAATAATGCCTACCTTACACTTTGGCTTTGCCTTTTTTTCCTAGGATTGGATTACGTCCTGCTTTCCTGCTATCCTACACCATTTCTGGGTTGTGTTTGTGCTGTAAGCTTTACCGCAGAGCAAAGAGAGAGAAAGTAAGTAGGGGGGGAATCTAGGCATTAGCATTCCAAAGGCCACATGTGACACAGCCTCAGCCAATCACAGGACGGCATGCTTTCATGACCCTCCCCCTTCTTCCTAAATCCCTCCCCTGCTTCTTGTTCTGTCAGTCTACCTGCACCATGGCAACACAAAGGGCTTCAATTCCTCTCTTGAATTTCATGGCGGCTCGCTTAAAATGCATGCTGAAAAGTTTACTGACGCAAGCGAGATGTGTATGAACGATGCCTTCAATAATGGTCTGTTTGCTTAAAATAATCTGCAAGTGAATTGTTTAACATGTGAAAGCATAGCCGTTTGTCAAATATATAATGTAGTTGTTGACTTCTATATAAGGATAACACTTTACAATGGTTCAGTTTGGTTACATTTTAGCCATTAGGTATTATGAACAAGCATTTATTAATCTTGGTTAATGTTAATTTTGTATAATATAATACATTTTTAACATTTCGAGTTCTGTAAATCAACATAATGAATAAACATGAATTAAAAATAAATATTTTACTTAGAAGATTAATAAATGCTGTAAAAATAGCTGTTCTTTGTACCTAATGCATTTCCTAATGTTAACAAATTTAAACTTGTTTTAAAGTGTTACCAAATAATGAAGCATAGAATCTTTTTAATGTATCCCATGTTTGATATTGTATCATTTTAAGTCAATTTTGTCAACCTCTATCTTAGTTCTTTGACAATGCTAACATCCTATGGGCCGCTGGGTTCTGTAGGCAATGGGGTTGTAATATATGCAAACATATTCAAATAATGGGGCATGAAGATCACAGTAAAACACAGTCCTCGGGGCCCTGGGGTTAAGCTGATTGGTTGAAAGGCTAATTCGGAGTGTGTTGATTGGTCCAGAGAGTGATTGGCCTGCATGTCAGTGGTCATGTGTTTGTTCCTCATCATGGGGGGAGGTGGAAGCCGCTGCAATATATATCTAGCATATCCACGTATTTGTGAATGCAAGGCTGCAATATTTTATTACCAAGAAATATGGGACTTTTATACATTTATGTACCCAGATATGCTTATGTTTTCTCAATTTTTTTTCTAGGTACAGGAGAACCGCTCAGAACACACAGCAACCTCTACCCTACCTCAAGGCGTTGAGTTTTGGACCGACAAGCACTGCTTATATTTTCTTAAGAAAATATGGAAATCTAGTTTATCTTTCAACAGTTATGATTCATCTTAAGGTAGAGCAGATGGATCCAAAATAGTAATTTATTTCACATAAAATTAAATTGATTGTAGCTAATGTGAAGAGTATTAGTAGTTATTACATGCCTTGTCTTTTTATCTCTCGAAAATCAGTATTATATAGTGCAGCAATATGATTGCTAGGTACAAATCATATTTTACACTGTATTTTAATTTCGCACACCTCCCTATCTAGCATCAGATGTCTGATATTCATAAATCTCTGTATGCATCATAAGGATTATTCTAAATAATTAATCTGCAATATGACTTCTCTGGTTTGACCGGTAATTAATTATCTGGTCCCCAACAGCTCCCCTGATACTCCACTTCCAGACACAGTGACCCACTGCCTTAACCTGTTTTCCAGTAAAACAGTAATTCCCATAAGCCCCACTGTGGAGAAGCAGAGGCATTCGGCGGTATATCACATTTCACCTGAGAGGTGGATTTCATAGCCGTCACCCTGTAGAGCAATGGACCTCCAAATTGACATGAGCATCATATTATGTGGGCGTGTAATATAATATGCATAATTCATGGGCGAGAAGATGAAATATTTATGTGGAGTCCCTCTGTGCCGCTGATGTTCTGTTGTAGCACAGAGAAATACCTGCAATGGTTCCTTTGATGTCCCCTGAGTATTTTCCACAGTATGATCTTGTATGGAACACAATAGGCTATTAATTTAGTAGAACTGGGGGTTTAATTTGTGAATCAAATTTGTAAATAAATGTTTTTGACATTTTAAAAATACTATTTGGTTGAACCTTTGCAAGCACAGGTCTATAACATGTTCTTGATTCTTGATATTAGGTCGGTATGTTTTCACCTCATTTGACCTCAAAGCAAAGAGGAAATGAGTTCACAGCTAGTAGAAGTGATCTGCCATTCATAGTCTTGAATGGAAGTCCAGTTTATTAATAATAGAGCTTTTCCAAACTAGGCTATTTTAAATTTGTATCGTTTTTCTGTATGTTGATTAAGGATGGAGGCGTGTGTGGACTGGTGTGATATCAAAAGTAGGTCGGTGTTAGGAAATACGTAAACTATGCTATGGCTGCCATCTAGTGGTCATAATTAGATTCACATTTTGAATCTTGAGCTATTGTCATGAGATTGTTAGCTGGGATATTGATAGGCTTGTGCATGCTTTTTTTTTTTTACAGTATAATGATTCAGATTTTTGCATAGTTTGAAAAAATACATATACTACAAAATAGATGTAATTTAATTAAATTACTAATATATATTGGGGGGTATTGTGAAAATTTTCCTTTGTTTTCCCATTGACCCTGTCACCAAGTACAAATGCTGATTACAGTTATGTAGCTGATTTAGTGTGGTTTTGTATCCTACCTGTCACTCCTCTTTGGGAATTTAACCGCAGTGCTTTGCTGTCTGGATTGGTCTTATATTCATTCCAACCAACATTTTTATAATCCACTGACTAACCTAACTCACCTGATCCATATTACATATAGTAAAGGCGACCATTTGTTTTCCATTTTAAAACACTTTTTTTTTTATTGATAAATGATGTTCTCTCCCGTTCATGCATGTGACTGATCTCTGATCATGCATGTGTCTCCTGTAAAACAGAGCTGAACCGTAATCTATCATGGCATTTTATTATGGCAGGTTCTAGTCTGGTAGTGACTTGTAAGCTCCTCCCTCTGCCGTCTATGGCATTGTGGGATGGTTGTGGCATTGCTTTGCCCTCTAATGGCCTGGTGCAAAATGTGAGACATACAACAGAGGAAAGATGTGAGGTTAGTGAGGACACGGGTCAGAAATGAAAATGTGACCGCTGGCTGATGAGGTTCTGAAGAA